GATTTTATTAAATAATTATTATTGCTACTATCAATTACTCATTCCTTAGCACATGATTTTATGTATTGTAATGTGCTTTACTACTTTGTTTTGCCTTTTCATACCCTCCGTTTTTGGAGTCAATTTTGAATAAATTCGCAGAACTTAACTATAACATGGTCAGAGTGACTTTAATAATAATATTATTATTAAAATCATTATCATCATTATAATTATTAATAACTATAACAATAATTATAGGTGTAATTTCCCCCTACCTGAATACTCTGTATGAGTTAAAACAACACTGAAAAAAAATCGCAAGTTGTTCTCTCTCTCTCGGGAACAATTTGCGATTTTTTTCTATTCCATCACGACAATAACAATTACTGTACTATCAACATTGTAGTACCCGCTGCTTACTTGGACTCGAATTCAACCCTGACCATCAGGCGCAATCTCGGTGGTCTACTGAGAGGTATGATGCCAGGCTAAAGATCTGGAGATCGTGCGTTGGAGTCTCACGCGAGTACAAATTGCGATTTTTTTTTTTTCACAATTGTTTTCACACGTACTGAATATTTAGTACATTTCCACGTCAGGTAGGGCAAAATTACACCTATACTTGATTCTCCTGACGCAACTCCAGTTATTTTCTATTCCATCTAAGTAATCAAAGAAACAGAATAAAGTTTTGGAAAATTACAAATAGGTTCCTTGATATCCGGCGTGCTTTTGATTCTGTTCCTCATGAATTGTTTTTATTTGTCTAATAATTATTTTCGTATTCGCCACACTCTTGTTTCTTGCATTAGCAATTGGCTCTATGATAGACCTCAATGCACTTCATTTAATGGAATCATTTCAAGCAAATTACTTATCAAAAGTTGCTGAGGCTATCGGCACTACCGCAGTGCTAAAAAGCTGCCATTTTCTATCAGCACTGCCGCAGCGCCAAAAAGCTGCTGTTTTCTTTCGGCACTGCCACAGTGCGAAAAAAGCTGTTATTTTCTATCGGCATTATTGCCGCAGTGCGAAAAAAGCTCCGATTTTCTATCGGCACTGCCGCAGTGCCAAAGCACTGCAATTTTCTATCGGCACTGCCACTCGAAAAGCTGCTGTTTAATTATCAAATGGATGTTTTTATCTATAGACTATGATATCAATAATTGGTTGGGTCTAGCCTAGCCTATAATATTGTTAACATTATATTATATATGTTTTACAATTAAATTATAATTATTTCTAATTATTAAATATATACATAGCCTATATCTAAGCCCATACATAAAACAAAAAATAAAACAACAAAATTTTAAAATGAAATAGATGTAGTAATAATAATAATAATAATATAATAATAATAACAGTGCTCGAAATGAATAAAATTTGTTTAATTAATGAGATGAATCAGCATAATATTAAATCAACTTGCGTCTATGTAAAACCAGTTTTTTTTTAAATAAAGGTGTTATCTATTTTATTCTGCTGTTTTTAATAATAATCTTATAAATTATAAGTTTATTTTCTATGATAATTTTATCCACATAATTCATATTTTCAATGTTAGTATGGTTGATAAAAAATACATAAAATAACAATAATAATAATAATAATAATAATAATAATAATAATAATAATAATAATAGTAATGAAGGTGCTCGAATAATGCTTTAATAAAGAATTAATAATACTTCAATAATACTCCAATAGGCCTATTTGCAATAGTGTGATTAATGAGCTATTTGTTGATTAATTTATACAAATATATAATAGTTTTAGGCCTATACCATTAATAATGATTCAGCATATTAAATCAACTTACGTCTATAGATGTAAAATCTGGTTTTTTTTTTCTTCAATAAAATGTTACCTATTTTATTCTGTTAAAAAAAATAATCTTATAAAATACCGTACATTATAAAGTTTCATTGCAAATTATATGAGAAAATCCACATAATTTATGTTTTCAATTATTTAAGCATTTAAACAATTCAGTGGGCCTAACGCTGGATGTAAAAGTAAAACAAAACAAAAACAAAAAACGAAAGCATCGCCAAAGTGTTTTCATGTATGCAAATGCTAATACTATCGCACGATTACACGCGTATTTTTGGTAAGCAGATCTCAGGATGGTTCACACGAGGTGACGAATATCCGTCGAAATGCCGTATAAATAAACTGCAATTATGTAAATAACTTTCACAAGAACTTTACGAATATCTTAATTAATATAATCTTAATATTTTAAATTAGTTAATTATTAATTAGTTAATAGATTGATATAAACATTGTGATCTTATAACTACAATTTATTTAATATGTTTTAAATAATAAATACAAGAATCCTGCAACGAATTTTTCAAGTCATCAAAAAGTAATAATTTTTCAATCGCGATATTCGTATTCGTCGGTTAATGGAAATAGGGCGACGATAAACATA